AGTTTCCATCCACATATTTTATGAAAATGTTGGGAGATGAAATTAAATATATGCATTAAAAAATGTAAAAACTCACTTTTTTAATCCACAAGAAAACATTATAATGAAAGCATATTACAATTTCACAATGTGCATAAACATCCTCATATCCCTAAGTCATACTCTTATATACAGTGGGTACGGAAAGTTATACATACATACATACATACATATATATACACATACATACATACAGTACATACACTCATTTACATTTATTTCTTCAGATTTTTAAATAATAAATTAGCAATTTAGCTACAACATAGCTCCTAATCTCAGTATTTCAGTGGTCATACTGCTTCATTTTGTTTATTTATCAGAATTTATGTTCTTCAAAGCTGGTTTGGCATAGGATTGGAAGTTTAGTGACACGGAAGGCATCTTGCTCTTTTAAGTGCCTCTGTTCGGCTGGCGTTAATGTGTGATGCATACATCACCGTAACCTTTTATCCTCAGCCCGCCAGTCTTAAACAGACTGAACTCTGGTCATGCCGTTATGACACAGCAGATGAAAACAGTTTCTGCTTCTGTTAACACTCTAGTGTATGAGGCCATTTCATATACACCGTAATCTCCTAATCCTGATGATTTGCTGCAAAATCAGTGTTTTAGCAAAGCTCAGTTACATATACAGTGGCACACAAGAATTACTAGATGCATGGCGTCGATGCCAGCTACAAGAAAGGAAGAAAGCAAGAGCACGAGTCTAAGCGTGCACGTGCATACGTTGTAGATATAATTAAATGTCAGCCAATCTGCTCCGTTGAGTGTCTCACTGGGGGTTTTACGACCTGCACAGTCTCGCTTCGACAGCCCTTCTCCATGACTCAGTCCTCCAGATGCTGTGATGCCACATTTGCACACACACTATGAGAATACACAAGTCTGTGTTTTAACACACTAACCCTTCTCCCCCACTGCTTCTTCTTACTCCTTGTGACACTTGACTTTGTTTCTCTCCTCCCCCGTTTCTCTCCCCCTGTGCCATGGAAGATAAGCTCCTACCCTCTGCCAGGGTGCTTGTTGGGGAAGCTAATCTGATGTGTGAAGTTCACAAATCCGGCAGAAGGTTGTACTTGTTATCCCCTAATTAAAAATGTGATAGTGCACCCATAAATATATTGGACTGAACAGGGCCCCAGGGCTTTCTGGTACATTTGGCAAGAGCCTGAGGGGCAGAGAACCACCTGATACCTAGACAGTAAAGAGATAGATAGCAGAAAGGGACAGACAAAAGAGGAGATACAGATACAAGGCGGGCTGTTATAGGAGTTCACTTTATGTTGCTGAAGTTAGTTGTCTGAAACATGTATTTGCAAATAAGCCTGGGTGGTATGGCTAAGTATTTTTATATTTCAAATAAACAGCATTAAGCTTATATATCAATAATGATATGTTTTCTCTAATTGCCTACAAAAATAAGACTAACCATAACTTTAACCAGAAGCAAAATTTAGTTCATAAAAACATGTTTTTCACACAAGGAATTTAAAAAATATATATTTTATAGCATTAAATAGCATTAAAAGTCATTAAATTGTATTCCTACAGGCATTTTTTGATGGTTTTGAAGAAAAATAATATGACTATTTTATTTTGAATATAGCCTTCATAATTAATAAGTTTTCAATTTGCTGTCACAAAATATGTACATTGGTGTGATACACACTCGGAACCAGTTTGGTAATTGTCTCCAGCCGGTGAAAAATTGCTGTAACACCGGATGTTTGGACAGCAGCGGGCTGGGACATGGAGGAGTAAAACTTAGAGCAGAGACCCATTACTAATAATTGAGCACCAATAATAATGTATCATTGCAGAGCAGCAGTTTTCACAGACTGTCAGTGTGTGCATTATTTTACAGTGATTCTTTACACAGAGTTGCATTGCTGCACGAGTAGATGGTGTCTTTTTAAGTAAATAGAATCATTCACTGACCTGAATTGTTAAAACACACTGATTCATTGTGGAATAAAAAAACATGACTTGTGAGTGAGTCATTGTATTATTCACTGAACTTATTCGTTCAAAAACACAAAACTAGAGACTATTTTTTATGAGCGAGTCGTTAAAGCATTCTACTTTGAATCATTCTACTAGTTTATTCAGAAACTAATCAACTCTACACAGAAACACAACAGAGTTTTCAGTGGCATCATTTGAAATTTTCATTGACAGATTAAAAAACACAAAAGTATCTGAATATTGTGTATAAAATGCGAGTTACTCATTATTAACCTTGTTTATTGAACTGCTGTTTAAAATGCAATATAATTTTCGCAGTCATGTGTTGTTTACATGAGTAGTTTGTTGCTAGCCCTCTTATGCTGTCTTTAGGAAAGTAGCATGCAAATTAAAAAGCCATGGTTTTGATGAAGACAATGGTGATTTTGGTGGTTGTGTTGTTTAATTTCACACTCCCACAACAATATTACATATGTTGTACATTTTCAGTATATTATGCAGTGCTGTTTGAAAGGGTGTGTGTTCAGTTGTTTTAATTGTTTGTTTTAGTTGTGTTTTCTTGAATATGGTTTGTCCTGAGTTTTGTCGAAAAGGCACAGTGTGGTTGGTTAATCTTAGAGTTAAATGTTTTCCTTAGATTCTCTGATTTTAATACATCCCGCAATGATAATACTGTAGACCACATGCTCTGGCAGTTCCTCTCAGATCCGTGTGGAGAGATCAAGAGTCCAGCTGGTTCTTGTGGAAGCATTGCCCAACAGGACATTGTTAATGGAGCAGTCATGGGTCGCTTGAGAGCATGTTTCCCATTTTAGTAATTCTGCTTTCTTGTGTCTGAGATCCTTTGAACCCAGCCTTCCCAGCTCTCCTGTCCTGGCCATTGCAGATGATGAATTGTGTTACAGTTAAGCAAGCAAGAAGTAGGACAAATTGATCAAAGTGTCAGGTGCCCCTTGTGATGTCTAAGTCTCCAAAACGAAGGAAATGAGGGAGCTGTCGAAAAGTTTCCGGAATCATGGTGCCTCTAATAAATGTTTACCTGCCCCCTGAACACCCAGCTCGAGCGTCAGATGGATGTGGGTGTGTTTTGGGGATGCAAACTTTGAGATGCAGCTACTTTAGGAAGTGTCATTGCTTTCAGAGGACAATGGGACACTCGGTGGAAGGAGCCAGCGAAATGCATGTCCTGGTTTAAACCAATGAGCAAAGCTATCAGCCAAGGTGTTGAAGAGCAATTAGAGATAAGCCATGCTTGTTCTGCTCTGGTTTGTTCTGGAACAGCTAGTTTAATTAGCTTGATTTAATCTGGGTGGCTATTAAACACAGCACACTGTGTGAACCGCTTCTTTGATTTTTGAGTAAGGGTCTCGAGTATAAAGCGATACAGTAAAAACTAGGCTTGAAAAGAACATGAATCATTTAATTTTATCCCACTGCTACTGTTTGTTTATTCTTTTTAATTGTAACATTTTGCCTTTGTTTAATGTGTACAGTTGTATCACATATAAGTATTCATGCTGCTGCTTCCAGCGGAAAATGCACTTGTGCAGTTCTGCCTCAGTGTAGCGAGTGTGTGTGGCATTTTCTGAAATTAATTAAGTAGCCGTGTCAACTTTCTTCCTCTTTATAAATTCAATTTGCTGACTGTCATCTACTTTGAATGCGCGAGGAAACAAAAGATTGATTAACACGCCTGAAACTGCTGCCTAAAGCTACCGGCATCTCCGCCACAGACGTTTTCTCTCTGCCAAGGCAGACGTCAAATCCCAACCCATTCACTAAATATTTCCACTGAACGGCTCGATCATGTACACAAAAGAATTGATGAGATGGTCCCACACGCAACAATAAGTCACCGTAATGATTCTAGTTTAAAATAATGCCTCTGCTGGACCACTATGATATAGTGGGGACCCTCAGTCTCATTAATGCTGGGTGAAGATAGATGACCCAGATAAAAGACCAAAAGATTATTTCTGAACCCCATCATTGACCGATGCTTTAGATGTTCTGCACCATATGCCCATGCAAGAAAAAAAACTTCAAAGCTTCAAAACTTTATAAGTGGAAGTCAAGGAAATACATTATATTAAGTTCTGTCAGGACCACTATCGTCAGATTTTATCCAGATGATGTATAAATCTAAATTTCAAAAAATGTACCCTTATGACTGGTTTTGTTGTCCATGGACACATTTATTGATTTATTATTACTTACTGTATATGATAATATTTTGAATGAATAATTTTGAATTAATGAATGACCTTAATATGATTTATTTATTATTTACTTTAGTTAAATTGTTACAAAACAATGTTTAATTTTGTATTTATTTAATTTATACAGTATCATAATTATATGTTGTCTTTATAACATCATCATATTTCTGGAATGTTGGCAGTTTAAAAAAAATTGTATTAGACAATTAAAGGGTCTCATATTCCGCCATATTATGCACAGAAATAAATCCAAAATTTGATTGTTTCTCCCCGGGATTTGTCCTTGCAGTGAGTGAGTCGCACGTCTCATTGTCTTTTAGAAGTCAAACCCCATTTGCAACGGAGACGCGTTGCACTTCGGTGGTATGATCATTTTCGAAGCACATCCCACTGTCATCGAACAATGATAAAAAGCCCCTGTATTGAACGGCTCCACACTAAATCTTGGTAAAGAGCACTTAGCTCCCCTGTGCAAGCCGCAGAGTGAATATCTGTCAATGGCCATCAGTGAACACTTTCATCCTCTGGCTCCTCTCCATATGTTAGCCGCTGCCGCCTCGAAGCGTTTGTGCTTGCAGGGAGTCGCGCTGTTCTCTTTGCCCTCTGCCCCATTTGCCTTGCCTTATTGCTGTTCTGTTTTCGCTTTTCCTTTTACTCCCACACTCGGTTTTTTGTAGCCTGACCACAGTGTGTGGAATTGTGTATGCGAGTTGGAGTCTATGCGAATGTATTGTGCATGAAACTGAGCTCTGACAGGCAACTTTGTCCTCTCTACAGAAGGTGACGAGATGGGCGTGATGGACAACCTGATGGAGGCCTTGCAGTCTGGAGCAGCCTTCCGTGACCGCAGGAAACGAACCCCACGCAACGGTAAGACTGCTTATACAGTGGGTACGGAAAGTATTCAGACCCCCTTAAATTTTTCACTCTTTGTTATATTGCAGCCATTTGCTAAAATCATTTAAGTTAATTTTTTTTCCTCATTAATGTACACACAGCACCCCATATTGACAGAAAAACACAGAATTGTTGACATTTTTGCAGATTTATTAAAAAAGAAAAACTGAAATATCACATGGTCCTAAGTATTCAGACCCTTTACTGTGACACTCATATATTTAACTCAGGTGCTGTCCATTTCTTCTGATCATCCTTGAGATGGTTCTACACCTTCATTTGAGTCCAGCTGTGTTTGATTATACTGATTGGACTTGATTAGGAAAGCCACACACCTGTCTATATAAGACCTTACAGCTCACAGTGCATGTCAGAGATCTGCAACTTGGAGGAATGGCAGAGGATCCCCAAATTCAGGTGTGAAAAACTTGTTGCATCTTTCCCCAAAAGACTCATGGCTGTATTAGATCAAAAGGGTGCTTCTACTAAATACTGAGCAAAGGGTCTGAATACTTAGGACCATGTGATATTTCAGTTTTTCTTTTTTAATAAATCTGCAAAAATGTCAACAATTCTGTGTTTTTCTGTCAATATGGGGTGCTGTGTGTACATTAATGAGGAAAAATAATTTACTTAAATGATTTTAGCAAATGGCTGCAATATAACAAAGAGTGAAAAATTTAAGGGGGTCTGAATACTTTCCGTACCCACTGTACCTGCACCTCCTCTTGCTTTACATTTCACGATGCCTTCAAATGAATAGTTCACCCACAAATGACAATTTTGTCATCACTTACTCACCCTCATATTCTTACAAACCTTTCTTGCGTGGAACACAAATGGAGATGTTTGGAAATATGTGCCTGCTGTTGTTGTTCTTTTAATGCATTTACAAAGAATGTGCACTTGAACTTTATTGCTTCAAAAAGGACACAAAAGCACCATAAAAGTATCTTCAGTTTCAGTATGTTTCTCAAATAAACCTGTTGTGTGGCTTCAGTAGACTTGTATAATGCACTAATCATATGAACTACTTTTATTATATTTTAATGGTGCTATTGCATACTTTTTAACACATGGAAGCATTTCCTATGGTTAGTAATTGCTTGGAAAAAAAGGGGAAAAAGCAAGTATACTACCGTTTAATGGTGTGGGGTTGGTATATATATATTTTTTTTAAGTGTTTTATGATCACCAAGGCTGCATGTATTTGTTTAAAAATACAGTGACAATATTAATGTGAAATATTATTACAATTTAAAATAACCGGTTTTTATTATATTATATTTTAAAATGTAATTTATTCCTGTGATGTCACAGCTGTATCCTAACCCCTAACCCCAAACCTTTGAACAGCAGTGTACTTTATTCAATAATTATCTTTCTGTGTTCCACAGAACAAAAAGTCGTAAATTGTTTGGTGTGAGAAAAAGAAAATGTTCATTTTGGGGTAAACTATTCCTTCAACAACATAAATCCCAAAGTAACACTTGTAAAATTCGGCTCAGTTTATTGCCCTTCTGTAGGTCTCCGCCTCACAACTGTTTTCATATTGGATTCATTGCCACATTACCTTTCATAAGTCACTGATTACAGAAATTGATTGTAGACTCTGGGTCCTTAGAGGATGGTTTAACATAATCTTAATGCTAACATATTCCATCCTGCCATGATGAATTGCTCTGACCCAAGGGAGGAGAAGCGGGCCACCTGCTGTAGGTGCTATGTTGAATTGAAATGCCAAAGACGGGCAGACAAGTGTCTATAACTGCTGTAGCTTTCCAGCACAGCCTCACACAATGTCCCCAATAGGTCACTCTTTTCCCAAAGTCCTTGTCCATGCATGCTGACAATGCATAAACCTGCTTCTGTCATTAGAAATTCTCCTGGGATGTAGTGAGATATATGTTGTGTACGGAGTCAGACTGACAGAAAAAAAAGAAAAGAAAAAAAAAATTCAGCATCATTAGAAAAGCCACATAAGAAAAACATGCCAAAAGACATCAGGAGGAAATACATGGGGGAAACTTCAGATCGCTACATCAATGTACCTAATATCCATATACCAGCATGCTCAGCAGCACTGATTTGTCCCTGCACTGTTTTCCTGGCTTTACTTCATCTCGTCTTACAAAAAAGTTTTTTCCATGATCCCTTGTGTCAGTGTGGAGGTCTAATAAGAGGGCATGAATAACTAAGGTGTCATGCTGTATCAAACCTGTCTCCCACTCAGCGGGGCTGCGAGGCCCCCAAGCGCTGCCCCCTGATAGAGCCTGCCAACCAGCCGCTGCCAGGAAGAGAGCGCCGCATGCTCAGAGCTCACCAACTCCATCCAGCTCTGTGGCCCAGTCTCCCTGACATCTGTTTGAATAAGACTGACATTTAGGATAGAAGAGAGTGTGTAGATTAAACCTCACCAGTGCTCTTTCTCTCTCTCTTTTGTCTCATAGCCTGTCTCTTTCTTGACACTCGCTTTCTTGTGCTGAGTGTCGCTCACCTTCTCTCTCTTTCTCTTTCAGCCTCTTTCTTTCTTTTTCTGATGAGTGTGTGGGCTGAGAGTTTCAGAGTGGATAATTGGTTACGAACTCCTGAAATACCTCTTGTTTGATGTCTCTCTCTCTTTTTCTTTCTCTCTCTCTTTTTCTGTCTGTTAATTTCCACTTTGTCATTGTTGCAGGTGATCAAAGCCCTTCCTGTTCTGCACCTCGGTGGCCGGGTGCTAACCATGGTAACAGAATGAACCTATGTTTACCCCACTTGCCCTGCTCTTCTCCCTATAACACTTGCTTATAGCCTGGACTTAAAAAATACTTTGGTTGAACTCTAAAAAACTATACTGAGCTCCACAACTGGATGTGTGGGTTTGAAGAAGATGGCTTTCTCTCTTAGGCTTTGTTCAGACAGGCTGCCTGAAATCAGATTTTTCTTTTTTTTTTCTTTGGCATTTTCAACTCAAATACATTTTATAGTTTGTAGTTTGAATATCAGAATCAGATTTTTTTCAAACCTGAATCAAATCATATTAATATGCACATTTTGGAAATGTTTCAGCCTGAATAGCCAGGTCAGATATACACACATTGCATAATGCAAAACACATTAATTAGTTTAGATCCATCTTTGTCACTGAATCTCAACACAGAGCCAATGAAACACAGTCAAAATTGTTATGCAGATGAACCACTCAATGACAAGTGAAAATGGCAAGTAATGTAAATAAATAAGGGTGGATAATTTTTTATATAGTTATATCATCTTGAGGCCCCCTGTGGGCCTCAACCCTATAGTTGAGATCCCTTGGTATAGTAATTTCTATGTCAACATATGCAAAAAAATATGATATATAATGAGTAACAAGCTAAAATTAGTGAACTTGGACATAGCTATAGAAGATAATTCATCATGGACATGAGCAGAGGGAAAGCTTGTCTGTACTTTCTGATTTAATTTCTTTTCTTGCAACATGTCGGTGTGTTTAAAGAATACATTTGAAAAATAAATCTGATTTTAGTGCAGAGTGAACAAAGCCTTAGAAATATTTGACTCCCTATAAGATTTCCATCAGTGCATTGATTTGAGCATCATCTAAAAGAGTGTGATAGGTTGTTTTGTTCACATATATTAGGTAAGATTCATTTAGAGGAACTTTTGATCTGTGAGTGCAGTGGCTCCTTTGTGTCCTCTACAGTAGTTGGAGCTCAGGCTAGTTTCTCCTGTTTCTAGCCATCCTACAGTAGATGACCTAACTAACGCACCCTTGCAGTGATGAAGCATGGCAGCATGTCCACGCCTGTGAAAGGCGAATAGAGATGATCTGTCTGAAGGGTCATTGCTTTACTTCCCATTCATGGATTTCTCTCTCTCTCTCTCTCTCTCTCTCTCTCTCTCTCTCTCTCTCTCCTTTCTCTCATTT